GCTGCGCCACTAGCGAAGACAGAACATCAAAATAATTGTCCCTAAGTACAAAAATATAATTAATAAATAAAAGGATTTTCTAAAATATTGAGTTTGAATTAAATTAAAATAGGGGATTGGGATTTGGATGGGTTTAGGGTTTTGGGTTAAAAGGTTATTAGGGTGAAAGAAAGGAGTTTGGGCTTAAGCCCAAACATATATTCAACAAACACACACACACATGCACAGCATGCATGTGCATGCCTAATCACACACACACACACCACCAAAATATAAAGGCCTTAAGGCCTTATAAAAAAAAGACAGGGCTTAAGCCCTTTAATTAAACCGGCCCAAGGCCTCACAAAACTAGGGCCCGAGCCCATTGGGTTTTTAAAAACTAAACTAACAAAATTAAAAGAAAAAGGGGCTGGGGATTTGGGTTTAAGACCACACGGGCCTAAGGCCCGAGGAGGAAATGGGAGAGGCCAGACGGCCTGGTGCCGAGGAAGAAAAAGGCCGGAGCTGCTACAGCTCCGGTCACCTGAAAACGGGGGCTTCAAGCTCCGATCTTGGTACGAAAATGAAGAACAAAGAGAGAGGAAGAGATTTCTACCTTCCAAATACCGTAACTCGGTCGGAGGTGACCAGAAATGCCCTCGGAGTGCACGGGTTCGCCGGAAAAATGGGTGTGCTCACCCAAAACGTTTCCAAGGTAAAACCTACGTAAAAATGGAAGGTTCACGCTTATAAATCACGACCAAACATTTAGCTAGGTACGAGAGTGAGAGATTCGAGACTTACCCCTACTGAAAAAGGAAGAAAACTCGTCGGAGCTTTGCTCCGTGCCGTTTACCTCGCAGGGCAGGGGTCCCTGCTTCGTGGGGAGTCCCTCCTGATGGTGCTAAGGTCTTCGAGAATCCAGGGGGAGAGAGAGAGACGAGAGCTTGAGGGAGAAAGGGAGAGAGAGATGCACGGGAGGGTTGAGACGAAGAAAGAGGGAAAGAGGGAAAGGAGAGGGTCACGGGGGATACAAAAATAAAAGGGTGGGCCCCTTGGCTCACCAATTAAGAACTAAAAACCATTTTTAAATAAAATGGGGGTGGGATTTAACAATGGTGTTCCACCTGACATGTTTTCTTTTGAAGGAAAAGTGAAGTATCCAATAGCTAATTATGTGTCATGCTCGAACCTTGCACCGGAACGTCAAGCCTAGGTAAATAATGTGGAAGCAATCCAAGCACCAACCCGAGTTGAGGAGGCCTTGAAGGATCCTACATGGGCTGCTGCAATGGATGAAGAAATGATGGCACTACATAAGAATGATACGTGGGAGGTAACAGAGCTACCAAAAGGAAAAAAACCGGTTGGGTGTAGATGGGTCTTTACAATCAAATACAAGGTAGACGGATCAGTGGACATGTATGAAGCAAGGTTAGTAGCAAAGGGTTATACACAAACTTATGGTGTTGATTATCAGGAAACTTTTTCTCCAATAGCAAAGATGAATATAGTACGAGTTCTTATTTCTTTAGTTGCAAATTTGTATTAGCCACTGAAACAGTTTGATGTAAAAAATATTTTTCTTCATGGGCACCTGGAAGAAGAAGTATATATGGATTTTCCTCCAGGATATAACGCCGGAGGGAAAACCAAAGTATGTAGGTTGCGAAAGTCACTTTATGGGCTTAAGCAATCACCTCATGCATGGTTTGGTAGATTCACTCAAGTTATGAGGAGGATTGGGTATTATCAAAGTCACTTTGATCACACGTTATTTGTGAAATGAAGAAGTGGTACGGCGACGACCTTAATTATTTATGTGGATGACATGATAATAACGGTTGATGATTCGGAGGAGATGATGAAATTAGAACAAAGTCTTGCCGCTGAATTTGAGATGAAGAATTTGGGAGATTTGAAATATTTCCTTGGAATGGAAGTCGCTCGGTCATCTAGAGGTATTTTTTTCTCTCAACGTAAATATGTTATGTATTTATTAAAGGAAACAGGCATGCTGGGATGTAAACCTATGAACACTCCCATCATAGAGAAACATTATTTGGGGATTTATCCAGATCAGGAACCAGTTGACAAGGGTAAATATCAAAGGCTAGTGGGGAGGCTGATTGATTTGTCTCACACTTGTCTGGATATTGCCTATGTCATAAGTGTGGTTAGTCAGTTTATGCACTCACCAAGTGCGGATCATATGGTGGCAATAATGAGAATCTTGGCATATTTGAAGTCTGCTCTGGGAAAGGTTTTGTATGAACATCATGGACATATGAGGATTGAGGGATTTACTGGTGCTGATTGGGCAAGTGATGTGATTGGCAGACGGTCTACGTCTAGGTATTTCACATTTGTTAAAGGTAATTTGGTTACGTGGCAGAGCAAGAAGCTGAATGTGGTATCACGGTCCTCGGCTGAAGTCAAGTATAAGGATATGGCACATGGTGTGTGTGAGATCCTTTGGCTATGAAAGTTGCTTTGGGGTCTTGGTTTTAAACAGAAGGAGGCAATGAAATTGTATTGTGACAATAAGTCTGCTAGAGAAATAGCTAAGAATCCAGTAGAGCATGACAGGACTACGCATGTTGAGGTTGATAGACATTTTATCAAAGAAAAGCTAGAAAAGAAGATTGTGTCAATACCGTTCGTGAACTCAGAGGAACAACTTACAGATATCCTTACTCATGTCGTGTGTAGTAGGAGGTTCGATGACTCACTTATCAAGTTAAGCATGTGTAACATCTATGCTACATCCAACTTAAGGGGGAGTATTGGCAGTGAATCTATATTTTAGTAGAAAAAGAATGTAAATATTTTGTAATTATTAGAGTCATGTTTTAGGAAGGATATTGTGTCCTTTATTTTTGTTTCATTTTGTAAAAATGATTATATATATTTTTATTCAGGATTATAGAATACAGGAAAGTTAAGCCATAGAATTCTATTATGACTGCCGTAGATCCCCGCTGCTATAGCTGACCTTTGCTGAATTGACATCAAACATTATAAGACCTCCTTCCCCAATACCGCTACTACAGCTGTTGTGAAAAAATATCCTCCACCCGGAAGTTTTTGTTAAAGGAAACAAATTTTCCTCCACGACAGAACAGATATGTGTGTGTGTGCGCGCGCAATATCCTCCACCCAGAACCAGAAGTTTTTGCTAAAGGAAACAAATTTTCCTCCACGACAGAACAGATATGTGTGTGTGTGCGCGCAATATCCTCCACCCAGAAGTTTTTGCTAAAGGAAACAAATTTTCCTCCACGACAGAACAGATATGTGTGTGTGTACGTGCATGAGAGAGAGACCATGAAGCTGCTTCTTCTAGTGGAAAAAGGACCCCACAACTGGGACACGAATTGAATGGCAGCTGCAACACCAGCAGCAGCACCACAGGTAATCAGATCCCGTCGGTCACGGTTATTTTTGAAGAACCTGAGCCTTCCCAGGTAAGGTGATACTTGCGAGAGCCACCCTGTCCGAGCAAAGAGGCTATGCAAGCGCCGGTGTGAACCATAGATCCTTCCGATCCCCAAAACAAACCCAGCAGCGACTCCTAGCTAATAGATCTGCCAAGTTGAGACTAAGTAACTATTACAAAATATATATTTACGTAATCATTAGAAAATTTTTACTTTCATTGCATCACCTAAAAATTGTCTAGGAAATTGAATTATAAATTAACTTAATTCCATAAATCATGAGTGACATTTAGCAGCATGTCATGATTATCTGAATTAAAGACAAGTGTACGTGAAATAATCATGATACTCATTTGAATTTGAATTTCAATTATAGTTACAATGCAATTTGATTTTTTTTATCATCCATATCTCAATCTAGATTTAAGTGATATAAAATAATGTCAAATCACAATTTCACAGTGATATGTAATGCTAATTTTCCTACCCAAATTTTGTTACGTGCGATTTTCTTTGAGAAGTTTTTATTAAGCCCTACTAAATTAGCGTACTACGACTAACTTGAAGTTTGCTATATGCATTGACATATGATATTGAAGAGGCGAGACGTGTTTCTTTGTATGTTTATGCCTCGTTATCGTTTTTACGCAACAAGATTTTTTTTTTTTTTTAATATAAAGATTTGTTTTTTGATATACACATTTGAGTTTTAATTGGACTGTTTTAAGCTGCTCTTTGTAATTTGTACGAAGTGAATAAAATAAAAGGAGTCTTAACCAAAAGTTCACGGTACTATTCATTTTAATGAAAAATCACATTTTTACACTAAAAAGTCAAACATATTACTATTCACTTTACTCTTTATTTTGTCTTTATCATTAAAACTCAAAGTTTTCAAGTCATTTTCATTAGTTTTCCTTAAAATAAATAAGCCAGTTAGTACTACGGTCTAGTGGTATTCCTCTTCAGTTGTAAGTGAGTAGTCTTAAGTTCAATTCTCGCCAAAGACGATTTTGAACCACATTATCAATAGCTCATTGTGAGGCTAAGTCCACCCCTCCTCTTTAATGTAGATAATATCGGTTGTTAAAAAAATAAAAAATAAAATAAATAAATTGGGGGTTTAAAGTGGGCAGCGCACGTCAGGAAAAACGGAGTAAGATTCTCTTCCTTATTCACATCCCCTTCTCTTCCCTTCTCTTACATACTCATCTTTAACGTAGATAATATCGGTTGTTAAAAAATAAATAAATTGGGGGTTTAAAGTGGGCAGCGCAAGTCAGGAAAAACGGAGTAAGATTCTCTTCCTTATTCACATACCCTTCTCTTCCCTTCTCTTACATATTATTTTTTTTATCTTATTATTTTTATAGAAAAACTCAATATAAGATGTTGATATAACTTAATCCAAACTATTCAAATATGAGGAAATATGAGAGGAACTATGAGAGAATAGAGATAAGGAGAGGAGATAATCCTCCCCCGAAAGTAAATCTAAATCCAAATTCCAAAACTTTCCACTTTCCACTTTGCTGGTGCTGTATTTCATTCTTTCAACCGTAAACAAACAAAGAAAGCACTCGGATTCAGTCATAGTCAGCCCCCAAAGTACACGCTCCCCCTCTCTCTCTCTCTCTCTCTCTCCCAGTCAAAATCATCACCAACCCCACTTTGTATATGCTCGGATTTGTAGGTTCTTGTTTTCAAACTCCCTCTCATCTTCCTTCTGAACCACTCTCTATGTTCTTCTCATCGCCAAATCAAATCTCTCTGCTTCATCTACTTCCTCCCCAGAATTTGCCCCGGGATGTTTATAGTTTTTGGATGATATCTTCATCATCCATCATTCATCGATTGAGTTAGAGGTACCCAAAGGACATTGAGTTATGTTATATTCCTTTGATTTTCTAATTGTGGTTTGAGGCACTATTCGTTCACAGTTTCAGTAATAAATCATTGCTGATTCTCCAGAATTGAAGTGTTTGTGTGTTCATATATAACATAAATTGTAGTGAGAATTTATACTTGGAATTCAGATTTGAATTTATTTACTGCAAACTGGAAAGACATGGCAAGAGGCAGAGAAGACTATGAGAAGAACCCGGGTTTGCTCAAACTCTTGCAGACTCTCTCATTCTTGATAGTTTTTGTTATGGGGGTCGTTATAGGATTAGCAACGAGGGCGCATATGAGCCGGTATTTTGGTTCCCAAACTGAGAACTATTCGTTTATCAATCACCTCTCTGCCAATATGCCGCACGAGGAGAAGACTTGTACAATTGTGCCAGTTAGTGACAAGGTTGATTGCATGAGCATGGAGACGTTTCTTCAGCCGAAGAATTTGACACACGGTCTGTCTGATGATGAGCTTTTTTGGAGAGCTTCAATGGTGCCGAGAAAGCGAGAGTTTCCATTCGAGAGAGTGCCTAAAGTGGCTTTCATGTTTTTGACTAGAGGACCTTTGCCCTTGCTGCCATTGTGGGAGAGGTTCTTTCAGGGCCATGACAAGTATTTCTCAATTTACGTCCACGTAATTCCGGGTTATAAGCTCAATGTATCTACCACCTCTCCTTTTTATCTACGCCAAATCCCCAGTCAGGTACAAATAGCCTCAACTGAAGTTCTATGAATCATTATTGCTTTGGTGCAAAAAAACTTGTTTTTTCTGAATCCATGTCTTGTTATTTCATCTTCGTGATCCTTACAGTAGATTTAGTTGTTTGTCCTCGTAACACTAAGTTTTAGCATGGTGTTGTAATTCCTTCTTCTTTGTTTAAGAGAGTTTCAATGGGCGTAATGTCCACGTATCAGTTGGGTAGCGGTATACAGTATTGTTAGATCACTTAGATTTGTCTTAAACTTGTACCCCGAGATTGTTCTGAATTATCGAGTAATCGGAGATGGAAAAAAAAGGCCCGAGAGTATGTAGCATATACTGTTATTTTGTGTGCATCTATCATTCGTGAAGATAGTATGGTCTACGTTCTTAATGAGTTACCTGATGCTTAACTTTAAAAAATTTCTTCTCTGCAGCCGGTTTCATGGGGGACAGTAACGTTGCTTGATGCAGAGAGGCGCCTTCTAGCGAATGCCTTGCTTGACTTCTCAAATGAGCGCTTTGTTCTTCTCTCGGAGAGCTGCATCCCGATCTATAATTTCACTACGGTCTACGAGTATCTCGTTGGTTCAAACCATAGCTATGTCGAGTCATACGATGATCCTGGGCGTTATGGCCGCGGGCGTTACAGGCGCAAAATGTTTCCCGATATTAAACTGCATCAGTGGAGGAAAGGGTCGCAGTGGTTTGAACTTAGCCGTGCGTTATCTGTATATATAGTTTCGGAAACAAAGTATTACACGATCTTCAGCAACTATTGTTTGCCTGCATGCTACCCGGATGAGCATTACCTGCCTACTTACATCAACATGCTCCAAGGGTCGCTGAATTCGAATCGGACTGTGACGTGGGTTGACTGGTCACTGCGAGGTCCGCACCCTGCAACGTACGGAGGAGACAACATTACAGAAGATTTCATGCAGTCGATAAGGAACAATGGAGAGCCGTGTCAGTACAATGCGGAGATGACATCCATATGTTACCTATTTGCTCGGAAGTTTGCACCAACCGCATTGGAGCCTCTGCTCAAGCTCGCCGCGGCGGTGATGGAATATTGAGAATTTCCGGCTTTTTCAGCGGAGAATTTTGGTAGGACTCGAGTCGATTTTGTCCCAAATGCAAAAATGTACAGGCAGGTAGTTTTGGATATTGAGAAATTATCGAGTTGGTTCTCTCCGTCATTGAGTTGGGAGGATGAATTGGTTCTCAAAATTCGGAAGGAAATCATCAATATTATACAAAAGTTAAATATAAATGTATTTGGCTTGAATTTTCTCCAATGCACATTAATTGCGTATTTAAGTTACACAATAGAACAACAGTCGTTAGATTCCATTAAATCAAATAATTTAACCATTCTTGTTATAATATGTAACTTTTTCTTTAACAAACGATATTATTTAAGAAAAACTAATTAAAAGGGCTTCAAAACCTTGAGTTTTAACCAAAAACCATCTGCTACCTTTATTTAATGATAAAGACAAGAGAGAAAAAAAAATAAATAAATAAAAACCTAACACCGATCGGCGGGTCGGAAGTTGAGAAATGGAGAAAGCATTGAAAATCTACCGGAAGTTCTGAGATTGGTGAGGAGGTTGAAGAAAATTCCCTCTCGGCTGATCAGAAAAGTAATAGGGAAGGAAGGGTGTTGAATCACCCAGAAGATTCGCGAAGAGACCAAGGCCAATATCAAAATCGCCGACGCCATTGTTGTGTGTAGCACTTTATCGGTTTTGTTTCGTTAGGGTTTTGTCGGTTGGGTTTTTTTGACTGATTTTGTTGCTTTTTTTTTTTGCAGAGACATGAGGGACGTGTGATTATAATAAGCTCAAAGGATAGTGATGATTCGAGTAGTGATGCTGAGAAAGCGTTGCAGCATATAGCTGGATTGATTCTGAATGGGTGTTCAATGGATGTTACTTTGTGTATTCTGGGTTGACATGGTGAAGTTTGAATTGTCAAGTCGTTGGGTTCGAATGCTTTTTCATGTTAGTGAATTTGTAACAAAAAATGAATAATTATGTCAATTTACAGGCACTGAAGTATTTACTTTAATTTGATATTAGTGTTGTGTTTGTAGGGCACAACATTTTCATTTGGTGGAGGAGAAGAGGAAGCCGCAGATGGGCGAACAATAGAAGAAAATTAAGTAATTGGTGTAGAAAGTTAAAAAATTGAAGAGATATAGACAAAATTTAATGAGTATCGAAGAAAATTAGAAGAAGAAAATGTGTTTGGAAGGTGAGAATGTGCTAAGAAAATTCAAGAAGAGGAGAGAGAAGAATGTAGTATTGTTAAGTTTCATAAACAGTGTAGTAAGTTTCATAAACAATGTCGTAAGTTTTCATAAACAATGCAGTAAGTTTCATAAATAGTGTCCTAAGTTTCATAAACAATTTGTGTGAGGATGTCCTTATGTCAGATTTTTTTTTAATATTAAAATTATGTCTTTTTCATTAAAATTTAAGTTATTTTGTCATTTTTATTAAAATTTTAGGGTGTTTCATTAAAATTTAAGTCTTTTTAATTAAATAAAGTTATAACATGATTTTTTATTAAAATAAACTTAGCTCAAGCTCTTTTCATGAAAGTTTCCTATTATTTATCCTAAAAGGGAAGGGGACGGGCTAAGTCTCATAATGGTCTAGTAATAATGTGGTTCAAATCCACCTTTAGTTAAATCGAACATAAAGCCTCTAACTTACAAATGAAGAGAAATATTACTAAACCGTAGTACTAAGTGACTGTTATAATGTGTAACTTAAATATGCACTTTTGATGAACATTGGAGAAAGCCTCGAATTTTGGCTTGTGTTGTATTGGTGAAATCAAATGACAACCAATGGGATACTCGTGAAACTACAGCGACTGTGCATGTAATTTGACTTATTATTCTTGTTATATCCGTATGTGGAATTTACATATATTAGAGTGTCAGCGAGCGTTACAATTCAGGTATCTGCTTTTCTAAGTTCACATTTACAAAAACACTCGTACAAGCAAAATCTGACCAACAATGGAAACCAAAATCTCGGTCCAAACAAAGGCAATACATCTTCGAATCATGACTGACATTCCCCCTACATTTTTCAGAATATAATAACTTCGACTTTATTGGGAGAAAATGGGGGAAGGAGAAGCGGCTTTGGAGAAGAATATAGTGGACTAATCAGCAGCAGGGCGGAGACTGTCCGTTGCTCCGGCAACATGACGACGACATTAGACTGCAGCGAACCCCTAATCCTGGCACAGCGACAGCGGGTATTTACCGGAAACTCCCATCAAGTCTTGGCAGGAACCCCTAATCCTGTTTTACCTGTAATCCAAGCTAGATATTGTGTTCCAACATTAGACTGCAGCAAGGGGGAGTATCATTCGTATCTGTAATGCTCTCTCATAAGAAAATTGAAATGATCCCCCCCAACCCTAACCGTTAGCTCAACTGCTCAAGACGAGAGGATGCATTGCATTCATAGAATTATACGCATATGAAACACAACCCGCAGTACATTATTCTACAGCGGTCCTAGAATTTCAAATAGTATGCATTAATGCGTGTATACGTATACAGTATATTGTAGTTAACTAGCAGGCACATATAAACAAAGGAAAGAAGCGAAAAATGAAACATTACTCAATACAAGTTCATTAACAAGTCCTGCTCGAAAAGTAAGAGATAAGACGGTCTTTTATGATTTTTCATCTCTCAAACCAAGGCCAAGTACTTGCCTGAATACAAATACAAATACATAGTCGACTAAAAAGGAGCCAAGTCAATGGGAGCAAAAATGAAATATACAGAGACATACTGATTCAAAACAAAATACTGAAAATGATGTAGAATGAGGGGCCATAACAGAGTCACTAATTTTCTTCTATCAATAAAAAATAATGAAACAAGACTGTATAAGAACACAATAGAATGCATAGACAACAATTAAATACATAAGCAATGGGGGGAAAATTGATTTCAACCGAGCCAAAGTCACAGCACCATGTACTGAATTGACCCGAAATTAAAATGAATCCATAGTCCCCTGAAAAACTAAAGCTGGGGCAGTGCCAAATGGTGCATAAATGCAAGTCACCACAAGGAACCAGTTTGAAGAAAAACAATCAAACTACTAAACCGAACCATTCACTAGGATGTATTCACCTACCGTGCATCTTTAGGCTGTGAATCTCAACACACATATTTAACATGCACAAGACGTGATAACTGAATGGTAATTTTCATATAAGTTATAATCTTTAACAACCATAAAGATGGCCGAGCACAAGAATAAATAACTTATCCTATTAATCGCTATAGACCATATAAAAGAGAATCCTGTCACGAGAGCCCCTTATACACCCAATTGAACGCTTTAAGCTTACAGCATGGAGAGACACTTAACGTAAGTTCAATGTAGCATTGGCCAACTTAACAATCAAGACAAAATTGCCGGCATCTCTATCAATCACTTGATATCTAAGGATCAAGCAGCTGCTACCTGTTCTGTATTTTGAGGGGGTTCTGATGGTGATTGGTGAGATCCTGTCCCTTGAGCAGGTGGTACTAAGCTCTGAAAAGCTTCAGATGGCGGGTTCGAAGCTTCCACATGAGGGAGTCTGGACGGAGGGTGGCGTGGTACTGCCGTTTGGGAGGCTCCTGATGAAGAGCAATACTGTCCAGCCATTTGAGGGGATTGAGCTGTGGGGTGCTGGCTTGTAGCCATCTGTAGAGGTGTTGGTGGTGATTGGTAAGTTCCAGTCTTTTGATAGGGTCCAGAAGGCGGCTGATACGTTCCAGATGGTGGCTGATAGGGTCCAGATGGCGGTTGATATTGTCTAGTCATTTGGGGCGGTGCCGAAGACGGACGATATTGTCCTGCCATTTGAGAAGGTCCTGACGGAGGCTCCTGTCCTGCCATTTGAGGCGATCTTGGTTGGAATTGCCGAGGTGGTGCCTCTCTAGGTAGTGGTTGGTATCCCCGCATATTTGTATTTAATACTCTCTGAATCTCTTCACCACGCCCAGCTTCTCCAAAAACCTCATTTACAAACTGCTGTAATGCTGGAGGAACACCAATGCCATACCTCACCATCTCTTCCACTAAATCACGGCCTGTATCAAGCGCACCTTCGTTGCAAAGCCCCTTGATCACAGCTTCATAAAAACTGGCATCTGGTTTTGGATCTTTTTCTCCCATTTTCTTCAAAATCTGCGCACAGTCTACTACCTTCCCGTTCTTAATCAATTCATCGAACACCCTACTACCAAGACTAGCAACCACTCGCAGACCAACCTCCACCATCCTGCTAAATATCTTAAGAGCATCATCTATCCTCTCTACCTTCAAATATGCATCAATCAGCGTCCTATGAGTCGTGACATCCGGGGTCAATGACTTTGAGGACAATTCTGCAAACAATGTCTCAGCCTCCGGCAACATCCCATTCTCACAATATCTAGCAATGATATTGTTATACCCCGCAACGTCCATAGAAAATGGCTTTGAATTCACCTTTGTCCCCACCTTCTTAAAGGTGGCAATTGCCTCATCGCACTTTCCAAGCTTAAAACACTCATTAACCATAATGTTAAATGTATCCGAATTCACAGCCTGGGAGTTTGGCGGGGTGTGATTATCCAACATTTGATCGAACAAATCCCAGGCTTCCTTCTTCTTCCCATGCTTAAGCAATACCTCCAAGAGAACATTACAAGTTGCCGGGACCATCCTAAACTGCCTATCAAGCAAGGACTTGTATGACTCCATCGCCTCCTTCTCTTTCCCCTGGTTGAAAAACCAATCCATAAACGTTGAATTCACGACCCCATCATAAACCAAGCATCTCTCTTTAAGCTCATCAAAAAGCTCAACAGCCTTCTCCATATTCTCCAAATGTAAGAACCCCTTAATCAAATTATTATAAACCAAAGAATCCGCTCCGTGGCCCTTATTCAACATCTCCCTCAACAAGTCCACACCCTCACCTATCCTCCCAGCATCGACCAACCCTTTAGTCAAATGCCGGTATGTCACGGGCGAGGGACTGTAGGGGCAATTTGCAATTATATGCCGATAAATCTCCAGGCCCACATCGACACGGCCCTCGTCGCAGTGAGTATTAATCAAATTATTATAAGATACAATGTTAGGAACAATGTTTGATTGATTGAAGAAGAAGTGGAAGAGGGCAATAGCGTCATTATACCTCTTGGCGCGGTACATTGCAGCCACAATGGCATTGCAGGTGAAGACGGTGGGGCGAGTGTTGGAGAAAACCGAGCGGCGCGCAACCTCGGAGGCCGCGTCCAAGTCTCCGGCGCGGATGAGCGACTGGACGCGGTTGTGGAGGTTGAGGCGGGGACCGACGAGGGCGGAGGTGGTGTCAGGTAGGCGGGGGGCGTTCGGGTCCCGTGGGGGAGGGGGGCGTGAGTCCCGACGGAGGGCGTTGAGCGGGGGCTCGATGCGGAGGCGGCGCTTGCGGCGTCGGCGCTCAGCGGCGGCTTCTTCGGCGGAGGAGAAGGCGAAGGTGCGCGTGGGGGTAGTGAGATGGAGAGGAATGTGATGGTTAGGGTTGTGGAGGTGGAGGGAGGAGAGGGATTGGGTTAGGGGTAGGGTTGTTGGGGTGGAAGGGCGGCGGAGAGAGCGGTGGAGCAGGCGGTAGAATGACATTGCTGTGAGACTGTGACGGTGAGAGAGGTGCAAATACTTAAACCCTAGCAATCTGGGAAATGAAAGTGGAAGAAGGAAGAAGGGGTTTGGTGGTTATCTGCTTTGCCCTGCCCGCGTTATTTTCCGACCAAAAAAAAAACCTCTCCTTTCACGTTTGCTGACCTAGGAAGTGGCCCTTAGGTGCGTTTGTTGCACCGGACTATCTCTGACTGAACTAGCTTTAGGAACTAAGCTGGACTGGCTTAGACTAGACTAAGCTGGACTAACTTAGTGAAACGTTTGGTGCAGTATCGGACTAAAAAGCAGGATAATGAAAGCAGTACTGTAATCAATTTGGTGTTTGCTCAGACTAGGACTACATTATTGTTCTATTTTAGTTTCTTTTTTATTAAAGATATTATTAAAATTAATAATATTGGATGAGAGTGAGACTCAATAAAAATACAAAAACGAAAATACATGATTAAAGAGTAGCATTATTCCAAACATCAATATAACAAAGTGTTCTCCCAACAATCGACAGGGTTCAGGATGCTTTTCTTAATCATTCACCTTTGGTTTAAAGTTGTAGATTAAAGTTAAAAGTGTTGGTAAATACTTGTATTTGAGTAGAACGAAAATTGATGTCTAACAAGTTCAATTTTTTACTCAATTGTGAAATAATTACTTGGAATTGCTCTTGTATGTATAAGCCAATTTCAGTCCATACCGTGAAAATTGCATTCAATCCCAAGACCACAATGATGCGAGGCACAATGACAAATGGATAACTGGGCATTGATCATTGCTACATTTGGATTCCTAGCACGTAAATTGGCTTGCTCCAACTAGTTTGAAGAAAACTAGTAACAATATGCAAAAGGTAGAGATTATGGACAATTTATGCATTCCATTTGTATATTAAACTAAGCAATTAAAATGTCTTCCCTCACAACGGAGCAAGTCAGTTAGTCAATTCCATGTGCACTAGTGCTAATCCAATGAAAGGAAAAACAAATGAGAGAGGGAAAGGTCACCAATTTAATCAAACTGTTGGATGTTCCAACTAGAACAAATGAAAGATCCCAATACTACATTAACAAAGTACACAGCAGAAAAAGGTAAACTGCATAATTGTACATTCTACAATTTTTTACAATAACTCTGGAAAATAACTAACTGCCTCAATCATCCGAGCTATATTTACTCAATTCAAAAACTGCAACAGAAGCGCAGCAAAACAACTCTTTATCCTTCAAGAGGAGACAGCTTCCAACTCAATTCCATTTTAGATCAACTCAATTCCAACTCACACTGTAGGTAACACCAGGAGTCCACATGTACAAATGAGAACTTCCTGTGCAAAAAAATAGGACGAGTGCACGTAGGATCCCAAACTGTTGCACGAATAAGATATTTCTGCACCAAGATAGCAACGAGTTCAAGATGGCGTATGTGACATGTCCCATATCCAAAGAATGCTTGGCATGCTATCAGAACCATATCAACTACAATAGCCAAACTCATAGCTAAGATAGCTTTCCTTGTACAAAAAAGAATGTGAAACAGTAGTGCTGCAATTCATCATTTTTCTTTTCAAACAAAAATCTTCACGGTCTGAGTTACTCTACAAAATTGATCCCAAAATACTTGACCATTGAAGACCAAATGCCAAAACACACCAATTTCCTCCACATATGGAGACCAACATCACAACCTCAAACATTCCATCTTGGCTACATTCAAAAGAATTTTCAAATTCATTCATACAAGGAAAACAAATAAAGACCAAAAGTTTAACACAATAAGCAGATTGATACCATAGATTTGTGATGTTTCCACATGACAAAAACCTGAACAAGTATGATTGCACAATACTCAAATAACTTATTCAAGGACCTTCAATTGACCAGTGAAATACTGTGGTCTGAGTAACTTATTTAAGGACTTTAATTGGGGTTATCCACTTCTAGAAAGGTAAGGCGCTGGTGATGGATTATGGTCAAAATCAAACCATAGCCTCTTTCAAAAGTGACGACAAGGAAACTAAGTAGCAAAAACAAAGCAAAAATCACAAATCAAGCCAAGTAATTGACCATAAATTAATAAATTAATCCAAATTAACATAATTTTATCAAACCCATTAACACAAAACTGATTAACAAGCTGGTGGGGCTGGAGAAGGGGGACGGTGTTGGAGCTGCAAGTCAAGGCTTTGCTGCCCTTTTTAGAGTTGCATCACGTGTTTGAAATTGAACAAAAAAAAAAATACAGGAAATGAAATAAATTAACCTACACAACTCCTCGATGGTATTGAATCGAGGACGGCGAGTGCGAGATCTTCCTCGAAGGTGGATCAGAGGACGGCTAGAGTTGGACAGACAATGGTAAGAGCGGGATCTTCCTCAGTTTGAAATTCTGGGTTTAGGGTGAGGAGAGAGGGAGAAAGTGGTGGTGGGCTGGTGGTATGGTCTCGCTGGAGTTGGCGAGTTGTGGTGTGATGGTGGCTGTCGGTGCTCAAGAGAACAGAGAGCAAGAGAGATAAGAGCACGATGAGGACGGAGTAGACGAGGTCTTAGCAATCCCATGGGTATTGGGGGGTCTGGCCAAGAACTCCTAGCGAAGGAGTTTGTCCGTGCGAGTCCTTCTTAGTCTCATTAAAGATAATCCTAGTACAAAACAAACACTGGATTGGACTAATTGTTAGTCCAGTCTAGTCCAGTACCACGTAGTGAGGGCAAACAAACGCCCCCTTATTGTATTAGGTTTCTTTCGGACTGATGTTTTAGGTGTTTCAAGGCTTCGCGTTTGTTAACGATGGGCCCAATTAGGCCCACCCACGGACATAAGCCTAAGGAAAGGCCAGAAAAACCAAGGCCCAAGGAATTCGGAGAGAGCCAGCCTTACCATTCGAGACGAAACAAGGACTACCAGACTGAGATCACATGGGTGTGTTCACAACTTTATGGCACAAATCTCCAAAAACTGAATTGTGCTACTTAGGCTATTCAGCGACCTGCAGACAATGGTAGAGACCTAGGATGGGACATAAGGGCAATTGAGACATTGCTCAGCAAGGCAAGGCAGATTAACCGAAGTCAGAGTGGGATGCTCAGGCCACCTGACCCTTGAAGGGTGTGTGCCTTTCGATTGCCAAAACGTCACTTCATTGACAGAAACCTGGACGAATAAGTGAAAAGTGGTCAGAAAGATAGAACAAGTGGTTGGCACATTAAATGTCGGTTTAAGAGGCCTTAAGGGGGCGAGTAGAGACCTCCATAATAAGGGTCAAACGAATTGGACAAAATAGAGTGAATGCATTAGCTGAGTGCTATTTAGTCTTGAAATCAATATATTGAGAGCAACATAATGGATGTAGCCCAATTTTAAAGAGTGAACCACTTACATATTTGAGTCTATTTAATTTTAGCCCATCGCCCGTCTTATGTTATTTAATTAAGATTGTTTACCTTACAATTTTGAGTGTTAATAGTGTCATCTTGCAAGTTGTTGGGCTCTAGCCTCGCCTTCTCACTCAAAAGTAAAGAGACCAAATTAGCCCATTCAAAACTCAAATGTAAACATCAGAATTAAAAGATGCACTACTTAAACATTATCACAGGACGAAACAAAGAAATATAACAAAAGAAACATAGGAATGGACGAATTACGTAGACAAAAAGTCTCCCATTTTCTCTCTAAACTTCTCTATGTGAAAGACTCCTAGCAATTTCACCGCCAGCCCTAGCCTTTGGCTTGGGTGCCGGAGGCATCCTCCCTTCCTCCTTCCTTCCTTTCTTTTTTTCCTCCATCTTCTCATTTTCCTTTGAGTTTTCTCAGGTTCTCGTTCTCCTTCCTTTGCACTTTTCCTATTTTCTTTCCCCCTCATCTCCTCTGCTTCTCCCCCTCTCTGCTTCCCTTCTCCTCTTCCTTCATTTCTTCCAGTTTTCTCCCTTCCTTTTTAATTCTTGGTTCTCCCTTGAGTTTAATCTCAGTTTTCCTTAAGCTGAGTCTCAACTATCTGGGGCTTCTTGCCTCTTATCCGGCATTTTTTTTGCCTGTTTTTCTCTCTTTTATTTTCCTTCCTCCTCCCTAGTTGCGATACTTCATCCCCATCCCACCATGTGCTTGGATCGGCTGGCAGAAATTGGATATCAGATCCACTTCCCTCCTTCACTTCCCCCTCTCCAACCAACATGCCGAATCTCCATTGAGGCCAAGTGTTGGATATTTTACATACCCCTTAGCCTCAACCTCTTCCCATATGTTACTTTGTTTGTATATATTTGCAGAGGTTCATGAAGGGGACTTGGATCTAGTGTTTACTTTCTCAATTCGGAATCTGGCTTCCTCTTAGGATGTGACAGCGGCAGCGATGTGGTCTTTGCTGCTGGAGATTAGGGTTTTTTATTGTATGTTTTCTATTGCCTTTGGGCCTAAGCTTGTGCAAGCCTCCCATTGTATCTTGAGTTGTTGCTCTTATTTTGCTTGGGCCTTTTACTTTCCCTGTAGTTGTTTAGTTGTTTACCCGGTCCTTTTTGGGCCTTGTACTAGTTTTTGTTGTAATGAAAGTTGTCTTAACGATAGAAACAAAAACAAAAAAAGAAACACAAGCACACTCCTAAATTTTAATCTTCACATTAATGTAGTGAGCCTCGGTTAAAAACCTTCCCAAATAGTTTGTGCACTTACTAGTGCCACCGAGTAGGCTACTGCAAACGCAAACTTGGGAGTCAAAAAGGGAGGAGAGAAAAATGTATATTATTAGAAGCAACACATAATGCTGCGCAAAAGCCGCTAGTACACACAAGAACACTTCCACCCAATCGTTGACTCCTCTACTGAACAATTGGACACAATTGGTCAGTACTCAAGAACATCAATGTATATTCTACAACGTCAAAAAAACCTCGTCAATCTAGCACAACCTCATAGCAAAATTGATTGGATGCTGTATACGATCGCAACAAGATAAAACGCGGGACATCGGGTGAACCAATCAAGGGAAAACTTTCTCCTACGCATTTCCATTCGGCATCTCTGCACTCCTTGCAGCTCTTTTCTGCAAGTCAGATTCATAATGTTGAAAGGCCGCATCAAGAGCCTGCACCAAAATAATCATTATATAAACACTAACCGCAACCAAAACATTCAAATATAAA